CAAATGATACTTTGAATATTACATGTTAATAACTTGATTGGAATTATAACCTTGAATTGACAGTTTGATACTTTGAAAATTTTGAGCCAGCCCTACCCCCAAGGGCTGTAGGGTGGGGCTCAAAGGAGTCAGTGTGCTAAAATTTCTTCATTTTCCTTGTTAAGAATCAGAGGTGCTAGTTTCAAATCCTTTTTAGTCTGAAATCTGTATGCTAGATATTGAGTAAGGTGGTTTTATTGTTTTTTGTCACTTTGAATAATATTTCTGTTCTGTTAAAAACAAAATCAACTCTCTGTATAAATATATCAGGTGACCGTTAAGGCCCATGGGCCTCTTGTTGTTTTAAATTTTTACCCTGATTGTCTTCCATTAATTGATATCAATGATCAAGTTATTTAGGGAGCCAATTATCTTTCTTTTCGAGGCTTGCTAAATTAATAAATTTAAGGATGCTGATATTTTGCATAGAGGTAACGAGTTCACTTTCCTCTAAAATCGTTATGTACAGACAAGCATTGAGTGCCTTATGGCTCTTGACTCCATATATATCTGATTGATGTTTGCCTTGCACTAGTTCTCCAACTCGAGATTTATCACTTGATCAAAGTTTTATCAGTTCACTTTAATCATTACCACTTGGAAGTATTGCATTGGTTTGTAGCTTCAATACATGATCATAGAGGTTCGTTTTCTATTGAACCTGATTGTGATGTTGGGTTTATGATGTGTTGTACAGAACAATTCTTTTCTATGTAACAGGATGGAGGATGGAGCAAAGGTGACGTGGAGAAGGCACTCTTCATTGATTTGACAGCCTGTATAGAGGCCCTGAACTCTGCTGGACTCAAGTCATTAGGTAATTAGCATAAGGCACCCTCTTCAGCCTTTCCCACAATTTAAACTTAATGAAATTTAGAAAGAAAAAAACAAATTAGTTTGAAATATGTATACCCCTGCAAGTGCATGAAGAAAGGAATTTGGGATTTTACTATTCTTCCTGGAGTTATGGGCCTTGAAACTTCAATTTCTGCTCACAAACATGGGGGTATATCTTTGTGAGCTTGCTCACAGTTTCTCTAGTTATTTTTTAGCTTAAACATTTTGCCTTTCATTCCATCTTGGTGTTTAAATTGACTACATTTATAGTTTCTAGATTCACTTTCAATATTGATTCAGACAAAGTTTTGGTAGCACTCCTATGACAATCCACATATTGATTAGAACCATTTTTCATCACTAGATGAATGTGTAACGAACAATCTGTTAAGTTATTTGACACTTATAAACATTGGGCTCACAGGAAGGGGAGCTGAAATCATGTAAAGAAATCAGGGTATCTTTTGTTAACTGTATAAAACATACTTTTCACAGGACTTAAAGTTGCTATTGAAATGGAGAACCTTTTGGTGACAGCTTTTGTCATGATGTGGATACTGAAGTCACTGGTACCAGAGTTATTCCCCCTGGACACTACCACCAAGAGTTGGTCAGACAATGTAATGATGCAGTCAGAAGGCCCACTGAAAGTCTATGACCTAGATAGGTCCATACTGGACAAGGCCATTGCCTACTGTGACCAAAGGGAGAAGTCTCACCCAGGGGTCTCTTCTATCCTCGAGCTGGGACCAAACTGGTTTGATGTGGCATCGAAAATCATTGGTTTTTAGTTACTATGTGATAAGTTGAAGAAGGTAATTGTGGTTTTGTTGGCGAACAGTTTACTACCATCAAGGACAATCATTTGAGATAACTGGACAAGGTTTAAATGTATGAGGAACAAAAGTATCATTGGAAACATTAGAAGATAGAATAATCTCATATCTTTTATGCCTTAATATATTCATATCAGCAACAATGCATGTGAAAGCCATCGTGTTGACTTAAATGCCTTACCGGATATATATACATGTGTGTGTTTATTTTCATATGCTTGTGTAACTCTAGAATGATTATACAGCTTCATTGATAATACTGGATGAAACTAAATGGTTTGCACTGTGTTCATTAGTCCGCCTGTGTATTACTTTGTATGGTTAATATCTCATGTCCCCTGGTATCTGCTAGTGTTAAATCGTGTGTGGGAGTACCTTATAGGCTTATGATAGAGTGCAACATACTAAAATTGCATCTCATGCTCCATTGTACACAGAGTTATGGCCCTTTGTTTACTGATTTTATTCTGAACAGGCTGTATCTTATATACTTTGCCAGCTACAATTATCAAGTATTACCAAATAATCATTTGTGAATACTTCTTAAGATTGCTGTGTGTCATGTACTAAAATGGAGTCTCGTGTCACCCTAGAAATAGAGTTATGGCCCTTTGTTATTTACATTTGTTATCAAAGTTTACCCAGAGGTGAGGGGCTATTGATTGCTTGATATACTTAGCCTTTTTATACATGTACTGTAAAGCACATCATAGTAATTATGTTAATTGCATAGGTGCTATATCAATGTTGTATAACTTATTAATCAATATTTATTATTTAGGATCCGGCCCCTCTCCTGTAGGCTTGCATTAGTCCCTTGGTAATGACGTCATGTTGGGTATAAATGGGCAAAAAGACTTATTTTACTATGATTGTCCTAGGGTCCTGCTGGCTCCTTGGAAGTTAGTCTTTTGGTTAAAACCGTATTTATGTGCTTGCTTGACATGATGACCCAATCATTCTACAAGAGAAAAAGCCCTGCTGCTGGGGATAGTCCCAGGGTAATAACATGGGTGGTCGGGGATAGTCCCAGTGTTATAACATGGGTGGTCGGGGATAGTCCCAGGGTTATAACATGGGTGGTCGGGGATAGTCCTAGGGTTATAACATGGGTGGTTGGGGATATTCCCAGGTTTATAACATGGGTCGGGGATAGTCCCAGGGATATAACATGGGTGGTCGGGGATAGTCCCAGGGTTATAACATGGGTGGTTGGGGATAGTCCCAGGGTTATAACATTGGTCGGGGATAGTCCCAGGGTTATAACATTGGTCGTGGAAAGTCCCAGGGATATAACATGGGTGGTCGGGGATAGTCCCAGGGTTATAACATGGGTGGTTGGGGATATTCCCAGGGCTATAACATGGGTGGTCAGGGATAGTCCCAGGGTTATAACATTGGTCGGGGATAGTCCCAGAGTTATAACATGGGTGGTTGGGGATAGTCCCAGAGTTATAACATGGGTGGTCGTGGATAGTCCCAGGGTTATAACATGGGTGGTCGGGGATAGTCCCAGTGTTATAACATTGGTCGGGGATAGTCCCAGGGTTATAACAGTGGTCGTGGATAGTCCCAGGGTTATAACATGGGTGGTCGGGGATAGTCCCAGGGTTATAACATTGGTCGGGGATAGTCCCAGAGTTATAACATGGGTTGTCGGGGATAGTCCCAGGGCTATAACATGGGTGGTCGGGGATAGTCCCAGGTTTATAACATTGGTCGGGGATAGTCCCAGAGGTATAACATGGGTGGTCGGGGATAGTCCCAGGGGTATAACATGGGTGGTTGGGGATATTCCCAGGGCTATAACATGGGTGGTCAGGGATAGTCCCAGGGTTATAACATGGGTGGTTGGGGATAGTCCCAGGGTTATAACATTCTTCCTACTTGTTCAGAGTGGTTGCACATTTTCATTGTTATGCTCTTTAGTATTTAAAAAAAAGAAAAACCTAGGCTAATTTACTTTTATTTTGTTTAACCTTTAAATTCAATGTAGTTTTGCTTTTTACATTATGAGGTTTGGTTTTACTAATATGCAAAGCCTTTGAGCGAGCAATCACCAACACTGACCAACGGTCATTTCTGGGTGACCAATCGCCAACACTGACCAACGGTCATGTCTGGGTGACCAATCACCAACACTGACCAATGGGCATTTCTGGATGTTGTAGGCCATCACAATCACAGATGATCGGCCATGTATAGATATATGTAAGTTTATTTCAATCTGTCACATCGGCCATGTATAGATATATGTAAGTTTATTTCAATCTGTCACATCGGCCATGTATAGATATTTGTAAGTTTATTTCAATCTGTCACATCGGCCATGTATAGATATTTGTAAGTTTATTTCAATCTGTCACATCGGCCATGTATAGATATTTGTAAGTTTATTTCAATCTGTCACATCGGCCATGTATAGATATTTGTAAGTTTATTTCAATCTGTCACATCGGCCATGTATAGATATTTGTAAGTTTATTTCAATCTGTCACATCGGCCATGTATAGATATTTGTAAGTTTATTTCAATCTGTCACATCGGCCATGTATAGATATTTGTAAGTTTATTTCAATCTGTCACATCGGCCATGTATAGATATTTGTAAGTTTATTTCAATCTGTCACATCGGCCATGTATAGATATTTGTAAGTTTATTTCAATCTGTCACATCGGCCATGTATAGATATTTGTAAGTTTATTTCAATCTGTCACATCGGCCATGTATAGATATTTGTAAGTTTATTTCAATCTGTCACATCGGCCATGTATAGATATTTGTAAGTTTATTTCAATCTGTCACATCGGCCATGTATAGATATTTGTAAGTTTATTTCAATCTGTCACATCGGCCATGTATAGATATTTGTAAGTTTATTTCAATCTGTCACATCGGCCATGTATAGATATTTGTAAGTTTATTTCAATCTGTCACATCGGCCGTGTATAGATATTTGTAAGTTTATTTCAATCTGTCACATCGGCCGTGTATAGATATTTGTAAGTTTATTTCAATCTGTCACATCGGCCATGTACAGATATTTGTAAGTTTATTTCAATCTGTCACCACGGTCACTAGTCCTAGAATTCCAGTAAGCTCGCTAGTCCCCTGAATATATCTATGTCATCTGCTAATATACTAAGAAATTTTCATTGTTATATTTGTTATGTCACGAACCTTTGTATGTTTGCTTATAAATGTGTTGTATATAAACTCAATTCAATGTTTATATTTACCTAGTTCTTGGTAAATGTCATAGATTGGACCAGTTGTGAAGGAAGTACTGTGGTAAGATTTTGCCATGATGCAGTGTCTGTCGGTCAACTTTAAAGAAACACAACTTTGGAATAGCCAAAAGGCTTAGGGTCATGATATAGTTTCACAGTAGCATACAAGGATGAAAGGCTGTCAAATTTATTCCAATAAAAGACCTTTGCCCATTTTCAAATTCATAGATGTCAAATGAGTCAAATCTGAATAATTGAAGGGGGATATGGTCATGTTTGGCATGTATCCTGCTAGGTGAAGAGCTTTACAGAACTCCCTGAGTTGTAGAGAGGCACTATTAAACCTGTAGTTTAGTTTGCTAGATATCAAGTAACAGGTGAGCGATACAGGCCCATTATGCTTCTTGTTTAGTATTTTGTCAAGTCATTAATGTTATACATGATTGCATAAATAATCTGCCTAGAAACAAATGTTGTGTAGAATACAATGTGACAGACCATGGGAGATTGTTCCTATTAGGGTAGTTTGTTGTGCATTTGACAAATGTGGCTGCTTTTTTTTTATTGTTTTATTTATTATAATATTGATTCTGTGATAAGATTAATCTTAAGGTAAAGGGTACCACTATAACCATGGAGAAGAGTTTGAATCAGAGTTCTCTCCCTTCTATATAGAACATGAAGCAACCAAAAACAGGATTTTTTCTGACTTGGAGTGACTTCCCCTGTAAAGTTATTTCAAGGCTTTGCAGACCTTAAATTGGACATTTGACACCTTGCATTTAAGATTCCTGGATGTCAACATTGGTAGGGTGTGTGGGATTTGTAATGTAAGGGCCCGAGTTCTACCCCTGGAGGTAAGGTGTGTTGGATTTGTAATGTAAGGGCCCAAGTTCTACCCCTGGAGGTAGGGAGTGTGGGATTTGTAATGTAAGGGCCCGAGTTCTACCCCTGGAGGTAAGGTGTGTTGGATTTGTAATGTAAGGGCCCAAGTTCTACCCCTGGAGGTAGGGTGTGTGGGATTTGTAATGTAAGGGCCTGAGTTCTACCCCTGGAGGTAAGGTGTGTGGGATATGTAATGTAAGGGCCCAAGTTCTACCCCTGGAGGTAGGGTGTGTGAGATTTGTAATGTAAGGGCCCGAGTTCTACCCCTGGAGGTAGGGGGTGTGGGATTTGTAATGTAAGGGCCCGAGTTCTACCCCTGGAGGTAGGGGGTGTGGGATTTGTAATGTAAGGGCCCGAGTTCTTCCCCTGGAGGTAAGGTGTGTGGGATTTGTAATGTAAGGGCCCTAGTTCTACCCCTGGAGGTAGGGTGTGTGGGATTTGTAATGTAAGGGCCCAAGTGCTACCCCTGGAGGTAGGGTGTGTGGGATTTGTAATGTAAGGGCCTGAGTTCTACCCCTGGAGGTAAGGTGTGTGGGATTTGTAATGTAAGGGCCCGAATTTTACCCCTGGAGGTAGGGTGTGTGGTATTTGTAATATAAGGGCCCAAGTTCTTTTGAAAAGGGCTTGAATATTTCACATTAATAATATTTTATATTGTAATAATATAGTTTATCTTGTTGGTATTCTTTACTTTCATTTATTGAAATTGATGACATGAGTTGTATATAATGAGTTTTTAATCAGACTTCTTTCAATGCTTACAAACTTCCTGTTTACGGACTCGTTTTAGTACAGCATTTTGACGGTGTGAGAACAAAGTTTAACTTTACATGTATGTAGATGTAACTGCTTGTTAAAGTGTTATTATAAGGCATTGTTTTGGATGTGGTTTACATTAATTTCTAATCAGTATGTTGTATGATAACAAAGTTACAAAGGTTTATATGGAGGTTGATGGTTTTTATGTAAAAAAAATTGAGAAAAAAATGAGATTAAAATTGGAATTTACAAACATAAATTATTATAATATAAAATTAACTGTAGAACATTTCATATTAATTCTTGTGTTAGAAGAAATGATATACTGTTCTTTGCATTTACACGTATTAATAAATGATACAAAAATCACCTTTTTATTTGTTATTGTTTATAGTCATACATATACATTAGCTATGAATTTTAGTTCACATAGTTTATAGTCTTGTGAGCTTATTCGACTTTGTTTCATCCATATGCAATCACCTTTTCCTTTATAGGGCCTGTGGTTTGCTTAGGTGAGAGGCTTTTAACTTTGTTCAAATAAATTACCTTGATCAACATTCTAGGAAACCAGGGTCAAATTTGTTTGATATGCAACAAGTTTCTCTCCAAAATCATAATAGGGCTTAGAGTCATTATATATTAAGCCTGTTGATTGTTGTTGATAAATGCTTTCATGTTTGTTCATATAAAATACCTTGATATCGTGTTGGATCACATCTGTAATATATGTTGAATCTTAAAAATGAAAAAAGCATATTATGATAATTGTAATCAGATGTGGTCTATGACTTGATTGGATAAAGGGATACCAAATTCAAATTGGTTTCTTCTAAAAAAGTGACCAAGACTATACTTCAAGATTAAAATCACTGAAAATTTGACTAAATATAAACAAGTCAAGATTTACATAGATACTTTTAAGAAGCACAACGCAAATAGGACCAGGTGTTCCGGAAGGGTAAGCGTCTTCAGCTTCGATCGTTGACGACACACGGCTTGCAAATCTGGGTCACATTTAAGTAAGTTACTTCATCTAAGTGAGAATCTTAGTACGGACAACGACATCACAAGTCACACTTAAGAGCTCAAAATCGACCTTCATGTTTCACAAAAAAATAGATCAGTTCCCAGGATTCATAAAAGTATCCATCAACCGGCCTTTATCAAAACCTTGTGTTGTAAGAGTTTCTGTTAGCAGTGAAAACCATCGCGGAAACATGGCATTCGAAGCAAGCTTATTAAATACCTTATTACCTGTTTTATGTAAAAGAGAAGCAGGGGTGTTCACATCAAGAAGAGATGGAGCTGATGAAGATGTTCAGAAGGATTTATATGACCGACATAGTCACTGAGTTTCTTATTCATCGTCGATACATCTGAAAGTGAAATTGAAGCAAGGTCTTTGATATCGAGCCATGTATGTTAGTGTTTAGAGAAATTAAAAATAGAGGAAACACTGAGGAAAATAGGTTGAAAAAAGAGTTTGGCCGGAAAACCTTTTGAGCTCTTCAAAGTCTATGCACATTCCAGTTACTTTACAACTGTTACTGTGATTTAAGGGTAGTAATATAAGGAGTTTTGATAATAGCCTGTTTGCAAAGCTAGAAGAGACAGCGATAAAACGTTGTCAAAAAGGATTCTTGTGAAGTTTCCGAATACAATGCGAACAAGGTATGTCTTTATTATTGTAATGCAGAAGAGTCATTAGCCGGTATTTCTCATTCGAATGTTGTAGAGTAGGACTAGTTCTTTCTACAAGCAGGTCATGTTATAGTGTGTGCAGATCAATATTAGGTTATCAGATGCGTTGTCTCTGTAGACGCCTAAAGTGTACACACTCTTATCATGCAGGTCGTTGAGTGTGGTGATGACGTCGGGGTCAAGGAATCGCATACTTGTGTTTTATTTTCATTGTGGAATTCAAGCAGCTAATTATCCAATTTAGTATGATCTCGTTTTGCTCATTGTCCTCCACACAATCCACAAGTATTTTGAAATTCACAACCAAGTCTACCTAGGACCCCTCATAAACGTTCTCGTAGATTTACATTATGGATAAAGTATATATCGCCTGTTCCTACATGTCGAGCTGGGCCATAGTTGTATGGGGATTTAGAGCAAGGAGATGTTGAAGGAAGAGTTATTCTAATGTCTTCTGTGTGTCGTACGTTCACCTTCCAGCAGTAGTAGCGTTTAGTTGCAGTCGAAAAGCTTGGAAGCAATGGGTTAAGTTTTGTATCTAAAGTACGGTGGTATGTTAGCTATGGCGAACTTCAGGTGTAGAATTTTAGTTTGACTTTAAACATATTTTATTGTCCAAGTAGGTACAAGGTATTTGGCACACGTTATATATATTGCATCACTGATGCTAATGGCGTCTAGCCATCTGTCGTCAGAAAATATTTTACGCTGATATGTTTCCATATGGAAACACTAATTACATTTCTAAATGAGGTCGCTGATATTCTGTGTTAGCTTTAAAGATAACATTTTCCAGACCAAATAAGATAAACTAACAGAAAAAACGACGTAAGCTCACAGTAACAAAGTCTCGGAACTTAAGTCGATAATCCAAGACGACAGTAGGTACCGAGCGAGACAACAAAACGCATTCTTAACCGGTTATTTACACATTGTTAATTATATTATGACTCAACAACAGGCTACATGTCCGCAATGATCATTAGTAAGTGTTTAGTATGCTCTGTTGATATCCTGCCATGACGTTACATATTTATTGCATATATGTGAGCCAACAATAGTCTATTTAATCCTGACCAAGCTGATGACGCATAAGCCTGGTTTTGAGGACAAAATAGTCTTTTTATCTTTTATAAATCATCGGGTCCCCGACATGAGCTTAGAATACTTATACCGCTATGCAACGGAGTAATCAGTATCGAATACACACGGATAACGACAGACAGACATATGTATCTCGGGGAACTCTAAAGAGCCGGAAATTGTACATTTTTCAAGCGGTCTTTTCTCTTTTGGATATTGAGAAGGATGTTTACATTGATTCTACTACTATTAGTTACAGTGGCTGCAGCGGATGATGGGTAGGTTGGTGTTATTACTGTGGTTACAGTGGCTGCAGCGGATGATGGGTAGGTGGGTTTTATTACTATTAGTTACAGTGGCTGGAGCGGATGATGGGTAGGTGGGTTTTCCTACGATTAGTTACAGTGGCTGCAGCGGCTGATGGGTAGGTTGGTTTTATTACTGTAATTACAGTGGCTGCAGCGGATGATGGGTAGGTTAGTTCTAGTTCTATTAGTTTCAGTGGCTTCTGCGGATGATGGGTAGGTTGGTTCTACTACTATTAGTTACAGTGGCAGCAGCGGATGATGGGTAGGTTGGGTTTATTACTGTAGTTACAGTGGCTTCAGCGGATGATGGGTAGGTGGGTTTTACTACTACTAGTTACAGTGGCTGCAGCGGATGATGGGTAGGTGGGTTTTGTGTTGTTGCACTAACACAGCAGCAAACCACACATGTTATTTGTTATGTTTTTGTATTTTGTCGTGTTCAAAGACGTGTAATAATGAGAGAATTTCCCACATTTTGCGTATGCTTAAGTATTTGTGATGTTACACAAACCTTGATAATAGTGATAGCATGTTTCGAAATTCACACACACATTGTTCGAAAGTTTGATTGGTTTGTTGTAGAACTATTTATCTGGAATGATAGCCGTTTTGCCAAAATAGGGCACCACTGCAATGCTTACAGCGTGTACAGAATAGGGTGATAGTAATTGTTTAGATTTGTGGATTGGTATTTTCAATGCAACATCATATCGTAATTCCCGTCTTACATGGCATATTAAATGCGAGTTTCTCTCCATAACCGCAGATAGGTGAAACAAACTGCCGGGTTGTGCTCGCATTAAAACATTGATGACTGGGAACAAAAAGAGAGCATGGAATTGTTCTACTATAATTTCATATTCTGTTTGAACAATCACATTAAATTCTTGACAATTATTCAATGAATATTCAACATGATATCACAATTCCTACATTATTTTATTACTGTCGCCGAGTTCTTTCTGGAAAACGAATGAATAAAACCACATTTGAAAGAAACATTTGATCTACTTACTGCGACGTCTGTAGACACGATAGAGTCTGGTAGAGTCTGGTAGAGTCATGGAGGAAACGGTGGAAAGCAATGCTCTTGAAGACTGACATGTGAAAAAGTGTTGAATGTCATTAATCGGTGGCACAAACTGAGTCTCTTTAACACGTAGGATAGACAGACGCCAATGACACCAGTCCATTGTATAGTTAACGAACTTCCTTTAACATTGAATTGTTAGAAAGTGTTACTTGTAGCTAATAACCTTGACGATAACAAATAAAAAGTAGCGTTCAGTAATCATTATAAAACAAATCTCGTTTCAGAGTGTTCGACATCAGGTACCCCAGCGTAGTTGTTGCAGCCCAGGATGACGGTAACGTGTCCCTACAGGTAAAGCTAGGTGGTGATCAGTTTATTCTTTAGTGATATGTCATTTTGAAAGTGAATGAGACCTGAACGTTTTCAGCGGGCTGAAGTTAACAGCGGTTTAGTTATTTGAGTTAGTTATTCGAATAACTAAAAACTTGTCAGCTGCAGATTCGTTAATGAATAATCTGACTTACCAAATCTAATATTAAATGAAAAAAACTTAGCACTGACCATCAACAGGTTAATTATTGCGAGTTACTGATTTGAATAATTAAACCGTTGCCAACAGCGGACTTATTACAGCGGTTTATTTATTCGAATTCCCAATCCACTGCTAGCAGCGTTTTAGTTATTCGAATAATGAACTCCAGATACCTAACCTACTGTTATCTTCAGTCCGCTAAGTGTGCATGCATGTTAAAAGAAACCACCAACAGCAACAACAACGTTATTAGCTGAAGTAGAGACCAGACTATTTGTAGTTTTATAAGTTTGAGATACAATATTGTAATTGAAATATACATTAGAAAACTTAATGATTTATGATACTGGACTTTTACCACACACTTTTAGGAAATCACGTTATTGAAATGATATACATATATGATATATTACACACGACAGTCTGGCCGTACCACCAATGACTTGTACTTACTACCCGGACAGAACGGAGGCACTGTGTCCTTGGGGGGCGAGGACCTCCTCCACATCATCCAGGTAATGTAGTTTTACCCGCTCCACTTCCTAAATAGTAGTATGCCAATGGGAACGATTTAGTTTATTCAATATCCTGAAGGTAGTTAGGTTATAGTTTTGGGGAAATGACATCTCCAATATTATATAGATAGAATATATTTACTTTGGGACGAGAAACCTCTCCAAGTCCTACACATTATGACGTTACTTTGGGGAAAATGTTTTTACTATGCCATTTGACTTACTCCGGGTCGAAGACCTCCATTTTAGAAGATAATACATAGTTAACCAATGAGATGATGAAAACATCAAATTTCTAACGAGTAATGTAGATATTCCGGGGACGATGATCTCCTCCTTCCCTATAAGTAATGTAGTTACTCCGGGGACGATGATCTCCTCCTTCCCTTTAATCAATGTAAATATTCCGGGGACGATGATCTCCTCCTTCCCTATAAGTAATGTAGCTATTCCGGGGACGATGATCTCCTCCTTCACTATAAGTAATGTAGTTACTCCGCGGACGATGATCTCCTCCTTCCCTTTAAACAATGTAAATATTCCGGGGACGATGATCTCCCCCTTCCCTATAAGTAATGTAGATATTTCGGGGGCGATGATCTCCTCCTTCCCTTTAAACAATGTAAATATTCCGGGGACGATGATCCCCTCCTTCCCTATAAGTAATGTAGTTACTCCGCGGACGATGATCTCCTCCTTCCCTTTAATCAATGTAACTATTCCGGGGACGATGATCTCCCCCTTCCCTATAAGTAATGTAGCTATTCCGGGGACGATGATCTCCCCCTTCCCTATAAGTAATGTAGATATTTCGGGGGCGATGATCTCCTCCTTCCCTACAAGTAATGTAGATACTCCGGGGACGATGAACTCCTCCTTCCCTATAAGTAATGTAGATATTCCGGGGACGATGATCTCTTCCTTCCCTTTAAGTAATTTAGTTACTCCGGGGACGATGATCTCCTTCCCTATGAGTAATGTAGATATTCCGGGGACGATGATCTCCTCCTTCCCTATAAGTAATGTAGATATTCCGGGGACGATGTTCGCCTCCTTCCCTATAAGTAATGTAGTTACGCCGGGGACGATGATCTCCTCCTTTCCTATAAGTAATGTAGTTACTCCTGTGATGATTATCTCCTCCTTCCCTATAAGTAATGTAGTTACTCCTGTGATGATTATCTCCTCCTTCCCTATAAGTAATGTAGTTACTCCTGTGATGATTATCTCCTCCTTCCCTATAAGTAATATAGATATTCCGGGGACGATGATCTCCGCCTTCCCTATAAGTAATGTAGATATTCCGGGAACGATGATCTCCTCCTTCCCTATAAGTAATTTAGTTACGCCGGGGATGATGATCTCCTCCTTCCCTATAAGAAATGTAGATACTCCGGGGACGATGAACTCCTCCTTCCCTATAAGTAATGTAGTTACGCCGGGGACGATGATCTCCTCCTTCCCTCTAAGTAATGTAGATCTCCCGGGGGCGATGATCTCCTCCTTCCCTATAAGTCCTGTAGATATTCCGGGGACGATGATCTCTTCCTTCCCTATAATCAATGTAGATATTCCGGTGACGATGATCTCCTCCTTCCCTACAAGTAATGTAGTTACTCCGGGGACAATGATCTCCTCCTTCCCTATAAGCAATGTAGTTACTCAGGGGACGATGATCTCCTCCTTCCGTATAAGTAATGTAGTTACTCCGGTGATGATGATCTCCTCCTTCCCTATAAGTCATGTAGATATTCCGGGGACGATGTTCGCCTCCTTCCCTATAAGTAATGTAGTTACGCCGGGGACGATGATCTCCTCCTTTCCTATAAGTAATGTAGTTACTCCTGTGATGATTATCTCCTCCTTCCCTATAAGTAATATAGATATTCCGGGGACGATGATCTCTTCCTTCCCTATAAGTAATTTAGTTACGCCGGGGATGATGATCTCCTCCTTCCCTCTAAGTAATGTAGTTACTCCGGGGACAATGATCTCCTCCTTCCCTATAATCAATGTAGATATTCCGGGGACGATGATCTCCATGTCATAAGGTAATGTAGTTATTTTGGGGACGGGGACGATGATCTCCTCCTTCCCTACAAGTAATGTAGTTACTCCGGGGACGATGATCTCTTCCTTCCCTATAATCAATGTAGATATTCCGGGGACGATGTTCGCCTCCTTCCCTATAAGTAATGTAAATATTCCGGGGACGATGATCTCCTCCTCCCCTATAAGTAATGTAGATATTCCGGGGGCGATGACCTCCTCCTTCCCTATAAGTAATGTAGTTACTCCTGTGATGATTATCTCCTCCTTCCCTATAAGTAATGTAGTTACTCCTGTGATGATTATCTCCTCCTTCCCTATAAGTAATATAGATATTCCGGGGACGATGATCTCCGCCTTCCCTATAAGTAATGTAGATATTCCGGGGACGATGATCTCCATTTCATAATGTAATGTAGTTATTTTGGGGACGATGATGTCAATATCATACCGTTAATGGTTTTTACTTCGAGGACGATGACATCCATAGTTTGCAGGTAATGTAGTTATATCAAGGTTCAATGATCACCAATTTATAAAGGTAAAGTACCATAATTTAATTCGGGGACAAAAATCTCTTTCGAACCCTACAGGAAATTTTGCTACTTCGGGAACAACGATCTGTTTCTTCTTGTTGAGTACACCATTGATGATGACTCGGTGCACTGGTTTAACCATCCCAACTCATTTTTACTTTAGGAAAGTTTGTGGAAAATAATCAATCATTCCTGTGTGATGTGGACAGAAAAGTCTTTACCCTCGGGATAAGATTTTTATATAAGATATCTACGTTTTCATCACACAGGTGTGATAGATTCAATATTTCTGGAGAAGACTTGTATAGGCTATCCGTATTGTCTAATCCATTTGCTTTGGAAACAATACAACATCTTGAAATATAATAGAGTGATATATTTACTTCGGGGACGGTGACCTTCATTCAGATAATCTGGTTACTTCGGGGACGTGAAACCGCTTCACTCTCCAGAATGAAACATAGAAAGCAACACATGTTTCTCTGCAATAATTGACCTCAATTTGTTTCATTGGATGGCCATAGTAATTTTGGTCCGTACATTATCAATGCTATGGGAGACATATATTTGGATCAGTATTAAATCTTGAAGTGCATTAAAACATTACAAGTGTTTTTATTTGAAATATTTCTCTAATTATATATATTTATGTATTTTCTTCCCGGTATAAGATTGCTACAAGCCTCCCTCCTGTGTGGTCTGCGCATGCCCACGTTGGATTCTTCGGTACCTTTAAAGGAGAGGAGAAGGTTAACATAAAACTAGAAGCAGAGGTAAAAAAAATATTATTACATTTTTACGACAATTATCTCAAAAAGACATTACTCAATTAAAATATGTATAAGTTATTTCTTCTTGGGTACAGGAAATGTAGCTATTTAGATATGCCTTAATAGCAGTCGACCTAAGCAGTAGAATAACTAAGTGCATAAGATCAGTCCATTGATGATTTTATCAATTTCTATATTTTGCAGTTGGTAGTTATGGAACATTTATATTGACTTCCGACGACCATACAAAGTTATTTTACAGCACAAATCAAATATATATTGTAAGGCATTTGTTCATTAATGTTCAATGGCCAACGCTAAACCCATATTCTCAATATTTATGATAAGTGTATATATATCAGATGCTACGTTACCTACCATTGATATTCTTGTGACTATGATAACACCGATAGCGTTGCAACATGACAACTTTTATTTTAAATGTACATGAACTAAATCACAACTTAAAGCTGCGATAAATTGATAATACTTGTTGGGCGTATATTCAACAATAATGCGGCTCTGAACACTGGTATTTATAGACGTTAACGCAGAGTCGAATTTCATGTTAAGTTAACGCAGTGCCTTCATGTTAAGTAACGCTTATGGCTACCGTTTGCACCGGAAACAGCGCAGTAGCGTCGCCGCATTGATCTCGTAAACCGTGCACCGATCGTTGGTTAACGCTTTTGCCAGCTCCAGCAATTCAGACGGCTGATTTCAATCGGCCTCAAAATATTTCTGCGATAATGCACAACATTCAAATTGCTACGCACTTCAAAAGGTCTGGTAAGATTAATCTTCATTAAGCCAGACCAACACACTACCGGTTCTGTTCAACGGCGAATCGCGCCTCGACATTCAAATTTTAAATGTTGAAGGTCTTACATTTGTATGTCGAGCCCCGAAACATTCAAAATCTGAAGTGCTCAGGGGGAGGGGGTACATTTTTTATGCTGAGTGTATGTGGAGCTTAAAAGTTTGCTTTGGTGTCCAAATGACGTCGATGTAACGTCTTTATTATCCAATAACTATTGCATAAAAATAACGGAACGCATTTCTAATATAAGAAATGATTCCTAGCTTGTTTGCCATGTGAACATTATGTACTTTTTCGGTATTCTATACTTACATTAAATTAGTCTGTTACTTGTGGATACAGGACCCCGAGGGCGGAACCTTGACTTTTGCGCTTGTTGCCGGAAATCTCCCGCCAGGTATCACGCTGAACGGAACTACCGGTCTTGTGGTGGGGGTGGTTCCGGATGTAACTAGAAGTTACTCATTCACCATCCGGGCACTAGATTTCCATAACAAATACGCGGATGCAGTTTTCAAGATGGAGACACTAAGTAAAAATGCTACTTTTTTAATAAGTCTGTGTTTGTGAGTAGTAAGTTTAAAATGACCTTCGTTTTTGTACGTGATATTTAAGATAAGGTCTTCTTACTCTTGAGAAGCACATATCAAAAAGCCTCTGACTTTATGTGTTGTAGGAAATTGTCTCATGTTTGCTAGTATTAATTTAAAACGCTTTCATATTTGCAAGAAGTAACTAACAAAACCCTCCAAGTTTGTTTGTCGTAACAAATAAGAAATAAAGGATCCTATTATTCAAATCAAATATCATCAACAAGAGAGAAGACAATACAGGGGGTAACCAAACGCTTAAAGTGGAATATTGATTTATAGATAATTCCATATTAAGTGCTACTATTAAATCACTGTATCAAGCAATTTCTTCTGGAAGAAATGGATGGTGTTTTACTTCCGTTCATATTTACTTTTATCAAATGTGCTCAAGATATCTTAAATGTTTAGATATAATAATGATAATAAATATAAAAAATTTGATTAAATTGTTTGAATATTTTTATATGTAGAGTTTTTTAACTTTAATAACCCTGATACCTATATTATAGAGTTTGACCACTGCTCCACTATGTAGAGGTTTGTTTTAACTTTAAGAACCCTGATACCTATATTATAGAGTTTGACCATTGCTCCACTATGAAGAGGTTTGTTTTAACTTTAAGAACCCTGATACCTATATTATAGAGTTTGACCACTGCTCCACTATGTAGAGGTTTGTATTAACTTTAAGAACCCTGATACCTATATTATAGAGTTTGACCATTGCTCCACTATGTAGAGGTTTGTTTTAACTTTAAGAACCCTGATACCTATATTATAGAGTTTGACCACTGCTCCACTATGTAGAGGTTTGTTTTAACTTTAAGAACCCTGATACCTATATTATAGAGTTTGACCACTGCTCCACTATGTAGAGGTTTGTTTTAACTTTAAGAACCCTGATACCTATATTATAGAGTTTGACCACTGCTCCACTATGTAGAGGTTTGTTTTAACTTTAAGAACCCTGATACCTATATTATAGAGTTTGACCACTGCTCCACTATGTAGAGGTTTGTTTTAACTTTAAGAACCCTGATACCTATATTATAGAGTTTGACCACTGCTCCACTATGTAGAGGTTTGTTTTAACTTTAAGAACCCTGATACCTATATTATAGAGTTTGACCACTGCTCCACTATGTAGAGGTTTGTTTTAACTTTAAGAACCCTGATACCTATATTATAGAGTTTGACCACTGCTCCACTATGTAGAGGTTTGTTTTAACTTTAAGAACCCTGATACCTATATTATAGAGTTTGACCACTGCTCCACTATGTAGAGGTTTGTTTTAACTTTAAGAACCCTGATACCTATATTATAGAGTTTGACCACTGCTCCACTATGTAGAGGTTTGTTTTAACTTTAAGAACCCTGATACCTATATTATAGAGTTTGACCACTGCTCCACTATGTAGAGGTTTGTTTTAACTTTAAGAACCCTGATACCTATATTATAGAGTTTGACCACTGCTCCACTATGTAGAGGTTTGTTTTAACTTTAAGAACCCTGATACCTATATTATAGAGTTTGACCACTGCTCCACTATGTAGAGGTTTGTTTTAACTTTAAGAACCCTGATACCTATATTATGGAGTTTGACCACTGCTCCACTATGTAGATGCTTGTTTTAACTTTAAGAACCCTGATACCTATATTATGGAGTTTGACCACTGCTCCAGTATGAAGAGGTTTGTTTTAACTTTAAGAACCCTGATACCTATATTACAGAGTTTGACCACTGCTCCACTATGTAGAGGTTTGTTTTAACTTTAAGAACCCTGATACCTATATTATAGAGTTTGACCACTGCTCCACTATGTAGAGGTTTGTTTTAACTTTAAGAACCCTGATACCTATATTATAGAGTTTGACCACTGCTCCACTATGTAGAGGTTTGTTTTAACTTTAAGAACCCTGATACCTATATTATAGAGTTTGACCACTGCTCCACTATGTAGAGGTTTGTTTTAACTTTAAGAACCCTGATACCTATATTATAGAGTTTGACCACTGCTCCACTATGTAGAGGTTTGTTTTAACTTTAAGAACCCTGATACCTATATTATAGAGTTTGACCACTGCTCCACTATGTAGAGGTTTGTTTTAACTTTAAGAACCCTGATACCTATATTATAGAGTTTGACCACTGCTCCACTATGTAGAGGTTTGTTTTAACTTTAAGAACCCTGATACCTATATTATAGAGTTTGACCACTGCTCCACTATGTAGAGGTTTGTTTTAACTTTAAGAACCCTGATACCTATATTATAGAGTTTGACCACTGCTCCACTATGTAGAGGTTTGTTTTAACTTTAAGAACCCTGATACCTATATTATAGAGTTTGACCACTGCTCCACTATGTAGAGGTTTGTTTTAACTTTAAGAACCCTGATACCTATATTATAGAGTTTGACCACTGCTCCACTATGTAGAGGTTTGTTTTAACTTTAAGAACCCTGATACCTATATTATAGAGTTTGACCACTGCTCCACTATGTAGAGGTTTGTTTTAACTTTAAGAACCCTGATACCTATATTATAGAGTTTGACCACTGCTCCACTATGTAGAGGTTTGTTTTAACTTTAAGAACCCTGATACCTATATTATAGAGTTTGACCACTGCTCCACTATGTAGAGGTTTGTTTTAACTTTAAGAACCCTGATACCTATATTATAGAGTTTGACCACTGCTCCACTATGTAGAGGTTTGTTTTAACTTTAAGAACCCTGATACCTATATTATAGAGTTTGACCACTGCTCCACTATGTAGAGGTTTGTTTTAACTTTAAGAACCCTGATACCTATATTATAGAGTTTGACCACTGCTCCACTATGTAGAGGTTTGTTTTAACTTTAAGAACCCTGATACCTATATTATAGAGTTTGACCACTGCTCCACTATGTAGAGGTTTGTTTTAACTTTAAGAACCCTGATACCTATATTATAGAGTTTGACCACTGCTCCACTATGTAGAGGTTTGTTTTAACTTTAAGAACCCTGATACCTATATTATAGAGTTTGACCACTGCTCCACTATGTAGAGGTTTGTTTTAACTTTAAGAACCCTGATACCTATATTATAGAGTTTGACCACTGCTCCACTATGTAGAGGTTTGTTTTAACTTTAAGAACCCTGATACCTATATTATAGAGTTTGACCACTGCTCCACTATGTAGAGGTTTGTTTTAACTTTAAGAACCCTGATACCTATATTATAGAGTTTGACCACTGCTCCACTATGTAGAGGTTTGTTTTAACTTTAAGAACCCTGATACCTATATTATAGAGTTTGACCACTGCTCCACTATGTAGAGGTTTGTTTTAACTTTAAGAACCCTGATACCTATATTATAGAGTTTGACCACTGCTCCACTATGTAGATGCTTGTTTTAACTTTAAGAACCCTGATACCTATATCATAGCGTTTGGCCACTGCTCCACTATGTAAATGTTTGTTTTAACTTTAAGAACCCTGAAACCTATATTATAAACTTTGACCACTGCTCCACTATGTAGATGCTTGTTTTAACTTTAAGAACCCTGATACCTATATTATAGAGTTTGACCACTGCTCCAGTATGAAGAGGTTTGTTTTTACTTTAAGAACCCTGATACCTATATTATCGAGTTTGACCACTGCTCCACTATGTAGATGCTTGTTTTAACTTTAAGAACCCTGATAACTATATTATAGAGTTTGACCACTGCTCCAGTATGAACAGGTTTGTTTTAACTTAAAGAACCCTGATACCTATATTATAGAGTTTGACCACTGCTCCAGTATGAAGAGGTTTGTTTTTACTTTAAGAACCCTGATCCCTATATTATCGAGTTTGACCACTGCTCCACTACTGCTCCACTATGTAGAGGTTTGTTTTAACTTTAAGAACCCTTATACCTATATTACAGAGTTTGACCACTGCTCCCCTATGTAGATGCTTGTTTTAACTTTAAGAACCCTGATACCTATATTATAGAGTTTGGCCACTGCTCCACTATGTAGATGGTTGTTTTAACTTTAAGAACCCTGATACCTATATTACAGAGTTTCACCACTGCTCCACTATGTAGATGCTTGTTTTAACATTAAGAACCCTGATACCTATATTATAGAGTTTGGCCACTGCTCCACTATGTAGATGGTTGTTTTAACTTTAAGAACCCTGATACATATATTATAGAGTTTGACCACTGCTCCACTATATAGAGTTTGTTTTAACTTTAAGAACCCTGATACCTATATGATAGAGTTTGACCACTGCTCCACTATGAAGAGGCTTGTTTTAACTTTAAGAACCCTGATACCTATATTATGGAGTTTGACCACTGCTCAAGTATGAAGAGGTTTGTTTTTACTTTAAGAACCCTGATTCCTATATTATCGAGTTTGACCACTGCTCCACTGCTCCACTATGTAGAGGTTTGTTTTACCTTTAAGAACCCTGATACCTATATTATAGAGTTTGGCCACTGCTCCACTATGTAGATGGTTGTTTTAACTTTAAGAACCCTGATACATATATTATAGAGTTTGACCACTGCTCCAGTATGAACAGGTTTGTTTTAACTTAAAGAACCCTGATACCTATATTATAGAGTTTGACAACTGTTCCACTATGTAGAGGTTTGTTTTAACTTTAAGAACCCTTATACCTATATTACAGAGTTTGACCACTGCTCCACTGTGTAGATGTTTGTTTTAACTTTAAGAACCCTGATACCTATATTACAGAATTTGACCACTGCTCCACTAGCCCTTGTCTACATAACGGAGAGTGTACAGACACGACGGGAGGGTTCACCTGTAACTGTACGACTGACTACGGCGGTCAGAAGTGTGAACATGGTATACACAGGGTTGTAAGATTAATATGGCCGAGTGAACTGTTCCTTTTTTCTTTTCTTGAAACATTGATATATATACATATATTGAAAACTGTTATAAATTTACTTATAAAATACAGACAATACTAGTATTACTTTAAAGCTTCACGTTTACCTATCAGGGGCTCATCATTTGTGGTGTTAGTGTAGATGTCATGTTTTATCCTTTTTTGTGTGTCTACTCTAGTTCAAATTTTGTATCGCCTTTGCATTCAGATTTTGACATTGTGCGGTATATTTTGTGGTTTTGAGCTGACGATGCGGTATGTTTGTATTTGTTGACACTTGTATATTTGTGTTAGTCCGGTGACATTGGTATATTTTGCCTTTGTATTTTATGTTGTGTTGATGCGTAATATAGTAACCTCTACAATGTATGTGTCGACATAGTGTATGTATCATAATTTGTCTTTGTGTATTGACATTGGTACATTTTAACCTGGTGTCAATAATGGTGGCAATTAAAATTCCATAACTTGAAATTTACAGTGTAGATAAAGTAATTATTACAGTAATCATACACCCATTAATACATAAGCGAAATAGCACAAAAAATAATTCAAAATAATTCTTTACTATTTAACACTGAATTTGGTACTTAATTTTGTTTGGCTTATTAGTCGATAATTTAGTAAAAAAAAAAGAATCGTTCTAACTTTTACGGTTATACTTATTGGGTACTTAGGTCTCCATATATCATGTAACTAGGTGTCGGTGATGTAACTTAGGTCTCCATAGATCATGTAACTAGGTGTCGGTGATGTAACTTAGGTCTCCATAGATCATGTAACTAGGTGTCGGTGATGTTACTTAGGTCTCTATAGATCATGTAACTAGTCGTCGGTGATGTAACTTAGGTCTCCATAGATCATGTAACTAGGTGTCGGTGATGTAACTTAGGTCTCCATAGATCATGTAACTAGGTGTCGGTGATATAACTTAGGTCTCCATAGATCATGTAACTAGGTGTCGGTGATGTAACTTTCAGAATATGTTTCCACACTTTGAGATGTAATCTCACTTATTTACAAATTTAAATAAAAAAGACAAATTATTCAGTATTAAAATATTTTCAATGTGTTATTGATATGAACTATTGGACTTTATTTTGTCTAATTAATCTTTGCAGGCCAAACAGCTACATGGATATCAATTAATGTATATAGGTAATATGAAATTCACTGTTGTGAACATGCTAGGTAAAACTTTCTTATGAGGATGTGTTTTTGCTCTAGTTTGTTTGAACAACGCTGTCAGCATACAAAGCCGTAGTGTGATACCCGACGCCCAGATGACTGCCTACCTTACCTCCAGTACATATCTAGCCTCCAATGGTCGATACGGGGCTAGCGGCTACGGTTGGTGTGGTACGAGTACCAATTCATGGCTGCAGGTAGATCTAGGTAGGTGCAGTATGACTGTTGTTTCTTTTATTAACATATTTTCGATTTTCTTGTTTTTTCATGTTTTAACTTCCCCTGTAAATATGTATTCTGAGTATTGTTTTTTTGAACACATCTACCTCTATGCATATCCAATGTACTACATTTTAATATTTATCTCATGTTTTATTCCCACCACTTCTTCGTTGTCTCTGCCTGGGGACCATATGTCATTGTCGGAACCTTAAACCTAGTGGTATATTTACCTATTGCCTAGTACTTAAAACATAGTTTGGATGTCACAAGTATCCAATTACCTACATGTTCACGGGGCCTCGATTTGGTCTCATTCTTTCTGGACAGTTTTCGGTTATCTGTAACTTGTACTTATCAACGCTTCTATATTTTAAGGTATTAGCATCAACTTATTCTTCTGCATTTCGATACATATTTAGCGTTTATCTTGTACTTTTGAAACTTCTTCCTGTTTGTCCTCCAACTTGGCTAATGCCATGTTATAAATTAGAACATCTGTGTCAAGGTGCACTAAATTGGATGTTTCTAATGGTTTCTTAATATCATCTGGTAAACGTAGGTATTATGCATGGTTATACAAATGTTTTAAAGTAACGTTATTTCTTAGTAGTTCAGGTTTTTTGAAGTACATTTTTAGGAAAAAATTAGGAGGAATTTCAAATATGTTTTTTTAACTCCTGCTTCTATTATATGTGGGATTTATATTTGGCCCCGTCTTGATGTCAATACAAAAATTGTCTCCGTTCCGAAGACGTTTCGAAAAATCATCATCAGATTTAAATGAAATATTATCCGCAGATGTATTTTTGGTTGCCTAAAATTAGTTTAGCTGCAATATGTCTATGAATATTTAATGAGGTTACTGAACTCTGATTTATTAATTGCGCGATACATTCCATAAATAATGAACATGTCGGTATTAATTTCACACAAGGAGACAGCATATTTCAGCATTAACTGCATTTTGAGTTAAAGTCATGTAATCCTGAACAAAGTAACAAAAACGCACGTTACTTTTTTTTATCATATTTTATTTTTGATTGTTCACATGTTAGTATACAGTGGAGTACATGACAATTATTACATTGTATTTCATATTGTCTCGCATATTTTGTTTCTTTTTCTTGTACACTAACAACTGCTTGCGCTCTTATTTTTATGTAGTAAATAATTCTAGATATGATTAACATCGATATTAAGAATGAGCAAAATATGAATTTAAATTCAATTAATCAATGTTCAATGCTGTGCTGATAACGGCCCACTTCGCTACTACTTGGTCGGCTTTTGCACGGGGATATGACAGGATACATTAATTTTCAATTAGCTTATAGTATGATATTGCAGAACGGCCCCCGCCATTATTTTTTTCATCAGAAATTAAATTTTTCCAAGGAGAATTGTTGTTTGGGTCTAGTATTTTTTTCATCCATGTCATTTTTAGTGCTTGGCAGTATGATTTTACATGAGTGAGTCTAAGGCCTCCATTCTCGTATGAGTTTATTATTACAGTCCTTTTAATCTTGTCAATTTTCCCTGACCATAAAAAAAATAAAAATAGTTTTTGGAGGTTGTTAATGAACACATCAGAAGGGTCTGGAAGTACTGTAAAAATATGTGTGAATATTGGGAGTGCTAGTGTCTTGATCACCGTGACATTCCTTATGTAACTAAGATTTCTAAAAGACCAGTCATTTAATAGTTTTTTAACAGATTCAAAGTTTTCTTCAAAGTTTTGTAATGTTACATCCTCCTGGTTCAGATCATATGTGATCCCAAGGAGCTTTAACTTTCCTCTGTGATTCCAAAAAATATTCTTTTCTTGCAAATATTCCACCCCACAACCCCGCTTTGCCCCTAGCCAAACTACATGGGTTTTTCCTAAATTTAATTTCAATCTAGAGCCATCAGCAAAATAATCTTAAGTTTATATGTTTCCTTTAGAGATTGTTCATAATCATCAAGACAGAGTGATGAATCATCTGCATATTGACTTAGTAGGTATTCAGGTGGTCAATATTAAGCCCTTTAATATCAGGGTTAAATTTTAAGGAACTACTTAGTAATTCCTCAGACAAAATTAACAAATATGGGGAAAGAGGGTCCCCTTGTCGAACTCCTCTTTTAATGTCAAACAATCTTGATCCGTGACCGTTATTATAAATACAACTTGTAATATTTTTGTAAAAAGTTTGTATCCACTGTCTAATAATAGGTCCAAATCCTTGAAACGTTAGAGCTTTTTGTATAAAATGCCATTCTAGAGAGTCAAATGCTTTTTCGAAATCTAATAGAATAAGTAGCCCTGGAATATCTTTTTCATAAGTCTTTTCAATAAGATCAAGAATAAGACGTGTACATTCACCTATTTATCTACCTTTAATGAACCCTTTTTGAGTGTCGCTGATTAAATCTTGTAAAACTGGTTTTATTCTATTTGCAATAATTGCTGCTGCAATTTTATAGTCCACATTTAAAAGAGATATTGGTCGCCAATTTTTCAAAAATAGTTTTGACTTTCCGTCTTTTGGGATACAATTAATTACGCCTTGTCTCTGAGAAATAGATAGTTGTCCGACTTCTAATGCTTTGTTAAGAGAATTTATAAGAGGTTCATGTAAATCATTGATGAAAAATTTATAAAGCTCAACTGTGAAACCGTCTAGACCAGGTGATTTAAAGTTTCCCATATTTTTTAAAGAATTTAAACATTCCAATCTACTTAACAAGACTTCCATCTTATTAGATTGTTCTGTTGTTATTCTTTTGTTGTATGGGTTTTCTTCATTGAAAAAAAATCAGAATGTGCGTCATCAATGCTTGCTTCTCTACTGATGTATAGTTCCTCATAAAATTTAGTTTGTTCTGTTATTATTTCTTTAATATCCGTAATCACTTTATTTTCATCCGTCAATAATCTAGGTATGAGCTTTTCGGTATAATGATGTTTTTCTAGGTTACAGAAGTATTTTGTGCTTTTCCCCCCCTCTACCTTCCGTTTTGCCGTTGACCTTAAAATCATCCCTTTAATCTTTTCTTCCCTTATATTCTTAAGTTCTAGTTCTGCTCTTTCTATGTCTGCACTAATGTGGTTTTGTGTTTCATCCGAATATAACTTACTAAGCTTCTCTTCTAATTTTTCTTCAGTACAGTTTCTCATTTTCTTAAGATATGAACACAATTTTATAGTTATACCCCTTATCATTAGTTTAATAGTTTTCCATAAAAGTTGGTCGTCAATTGAATATATAGTGTTATTTTGTTCATCAGGTAATCTATATTGATTCAATGTTTCCACAATACACTGTTTTACCTTTTGTACATAATTAGCATCGCGCAGTAAAGTATTATTGTTAATTTTCCAGGTACCTTTTCCTCTCTGCTGTTCAATAAATTTAAAAGAAACAGAAACTGGAGTGTGATCAGATCTATAACTTACCCCAATGTCTCTTTTTGAAACACACGATACTAAATCAGAAGATATCAGAAAATAATCTAGACGTGCCTGTTTTATATGTGGAGCCCGCCATGTATATCTTTTTGTATCTGGGTTAGACTCTCTCCATATATCTAAAATATCTAATGTTGACATCATATCCAGAATTTTAGCTTTACTCTTTGTATTATTTTTATTTTTGTAATTAACCGTGTCTTAGTTATAGTTCTGTGGAACATTCTGATCTCAACATATAATGATAGAGTTATTATCTAGTGTTTCAAGTTTTCGTTGGATATTCGCAAAGAAGGACTATCTTCGTTTGGGCCATATATTGCAGCCAAAATTGTATTTCGATCAAATAATTTAATCTCAAGTATTAGAAAATTACCAATAGTGTCTTTAATGTCTTTCACTATGTCAAATTGAAAAGTGTTTTTGAAGAGGATAGCTATTCCTCTACTACTACTAGAAAAGGAACAGAGTTTTGCAGTATATCCCCATTCATTTAACCACTTTTGTTCAACTTTATCTGTGGAATGCGTGTCAATAAGGACAGAGATATCGTAGTTGATTCGACACTTGTCAAACATGTCGCATCTTTTTATAGTATTTGATGCCAGTCCCCGGCAATTAAAGCAGCCTATTTTTAAACTACCCATGGTCATTAATGCCAAAAAATAATTTACCCGTAGTAATATCTTTAGGAACATTATCAGACAGCATTGAACATATAATCAAGTAGTATTGAAACGCAACATTGAAAATTTTCTCAAAAGCTTCCCCACAATTACCCACCCCCTTACCCCCCATACACACCCTACTTCCATTCATTAGGTTCTTTCAGAAAAGTCAGCCCAACCTCCTATACTAAATCAAAGTTCTGTTTTCGTGGATATGTAGCAACAAGTCATGCATTTAGGTGTAGGAGTGCCTACAATGCTATAGTGAATTATCATAGTAATATATGAATATATCATGGTAAAAGGTACAGAAATATAATTAACTAAAATATATAAATAAAAGAATAAGTAAACCACAGTAATGGTTTTGTTTTTCTAAAATCCAAATAAGGCGTGGTATTTTTTTCCAAACGTTAAATCATTATTATACATGTTTTTTTTATTAAACATAATATAGCTATGCAGCTGGGAGGTCAGTATAAAATCCACCACCGAGTTTCCGACAAAAAAATGTCCCTGTGTTCATCACACATAGTCTTTCACTCGGGGCTGATTGGACACGCACATTAAGCTATCCTTATCAAAACGTTGGAGATGGCTGACAGAAATGTTTATTTATTGAAAATCTACCTGAAAGGATATCAAGTCATTGTCAAACTCATTGCAAAATATAAGTCCTGAACTGCATTTTGTTATAGCCCTATCATCTGTAACTGCAGACAAGTCGAGATTTTCAATAATTTTGAACAGCCAACAGCCAACAGCAAGCACGTAGTAGTCAGCCATCTCCAACGTTTCGATCATGACGTCATGGTAATCGGTAATCTTTGAAGAATTATGATCTCACATATCACAGCTGATTGTAAGGTTTATATAGTGCAATACAGGCTAAATGTAAATATTCTAAATGATATCATGATGGCGACCATAAACATCCCCATTGTCTCCGTCAACCTGCATCTTTCGAATTGCAATAGGACTTTTTTTTACAGTAAAAATTAAATAAATTGTATTTTATTCCCCATGTAATATTGTAATAAATATGCTTTTAATGTTACGTTGTTAGGTAACATGACCACGATCTACAAAGTAACGACACAGGGCTATTACAGAACTCAATACACCTCTTCCTACACACTGTCTTATAGCACTGATGGCAACACCTTTCACAAAGTCAACGACACGAACGGGAACGAACATGTACGTACAGTAACAGGTTGTAACATCTACGTATAAAGATATAATATACAGTGCAGTAAAGGATCACTTGTTATTATAACTTCACACAGTTACGAGTTATGTGTTATAACAACTACGTACATTAAGTGGTCACGTGTTATAACAACTACGTACATTAAGTGGTCACGTGTTGTAACAACTACGTATATTAAGTGGTCACGTGTTGTAACAACTACGTACTGTGACGGGTCACGTGTTGTAACAATAGCGTTCTGTAACAGGTCCCATTACATAGAACTGCGGTGCATTAATAAGCCATAATTTGTCATGCGGTGAAATATACTAGCATACCTTAAAGAGTACTTGTTTTTGCTCTTGGAACATATTAGCCAGATTTAAATTTACGCCGCTAATAGTCCTTGCCTCTCAGTCAGCAGGGCAATGGATTCGCGGGATATATGTTTTGCGTTTTATTTTCGTCGGGATGAGAATAAAACAAAGAATTGTCTCCGCATAATACCATGACTGAATGGAATAGTCGTCCTAGTTAATGGGGACATAGGCTGAATTGTCAAAACCATAGGCTGAATTAGACTGAATTGTAAAATAAATCCACTAAATTATAACATATAACTGTATAATTTGAGAAATTAGTTGCACGAAGAAACTAGCTGGATAACAGAGAATCAAGCTACGCGGTCAGAGCAAAACAATGCTGAAAGATAAGAAAGATATGTTGAATTACTAGATTTTTTTTTTATTAAAAGGTTCAAACAAACTGTTTGATTTAGATAAAGAGGCTGAGTTTTCACAGAAGTAAGTTAATTTGTTGCTGTACATAATATGCCGACTAAATCGTAGAAATATGTGGAATGTTGAGAGTCATCGACAAACCAGTTCAAATAAAAAGGCTACGTTAGTAACGAAATGTGCTTTCTGATTAGATAAATATGTTTGTATGTTTAGAGATAATATGCTGCATAATTAGAGACATCTAATGAACTATCAGAGAAACAGATAGGAGCAATAGCATGATTAATTAGGAGAAAATACAAAGAACTACTCTTAGAAAAATAGACTGAAAGATCACAGAATCAAGGAATTGAGTGATTGGACGATGAATAGAATGATTTGACATGTAAGGACTAAAATGTTACTGAAGAAAAAGATTGAATATTTACAATAATATGTTAAACTATTAGAAAATAGTTTGAATAAGGACAAAGATACAGTTTGAATGATAAGATCGATATTACTCGTGATAGATTTTAGGTATATGACATTGTGTAACACTCAGTATACAGAAATCTGTTGGTTATTTACTTTGTTCAATACATGGTTGATACTTAGTATTTCCTCTTCCCCATTACATTTCAGACATTCTCGGCGAATACTGCCGTGCTTACCTACACCCTACCAACACCAACCGTAGCCAGATTTATACGTTTCCATCCGAAGTCATTTATAAGACTTCCGTGCTTAAAGGTGGAACTATACGGATGCCGTGTGTACCACATTTCTGAATGACTGTTTGTACATTGAAATAAAAGATAAACTGAGTTCTGTTTATAGTTCTGTATGTAAAGTTCTGTATTAATTGTAACAGGAACTATTGATACATTGTTTCGTGATGTGACATGAATAACGCCTATATTATTGTTGATCACAAATCTCAAAATGTATAACATATAAAGAATAGCTAGCCGAGTGGTCAAGATGTCTGACCGTCTACATTCGCTAGTTTCCAACACTAGGTCGCAGCTTCGAGGCCTACGTGGAGCAGTCGCCTGGTACTTTCCACGGGTCCATGGTTTTCTCCGGATGCTTCGGCTTTCCTCCACCACCCAAACTAAGCCCGTCCTTAACTGACCATAGCAGTTAATAGGACAATAAACACAAACAAACCAAAACCAAGTAAAGGAATAATCAATAGAACTACGAAGAACACATCCATTTCAAAATTAAGCTCTGTTGATGCAGAAAGCCAAACAGAGATAACATTTTACCGCACCACATAACCATTTCGTCATCTTCGTCAAATCAGTGGTACTCTAGTTCAGAACGAAATCCTTATCAAGACGGTTCAGAAACATAAGCAGAACTATAAGGTAAGGGAAAAGGTGCTGATAAGACACTTTATAACGTTACAAATGAGCAGCTATTGATGCAACAGATAATTTATGTTTTGACCAGTAGTTCTTGTAAACCTATCATAATATACCAGTTACAAGGTTAAGGTCAAACTCGGGGACTGATAATCCACTAGCAGAGTGAATCACAATGTATGGTAAATAATAAAAACATATGAAGAAAACAAAACACAAATTAAAAATAAAAATTAGTTGTGTAGATTTGTTACTTTATCATATGGCCATTGCCTCAATTTAGGCCTCATCCGCAGTGCTTAAGGTCAAAAGAATGAAATTCCATACAGATTTACAAAGGTTACTATGATCATATTTGATAGTGTAAAAAGTGTAAATAAATGCATGCTATCATTATCTATCTTCTAAAGACATCTTCCTACAATATTGACCCGGTCCCGGTTCTTTGTTCAAATTGTGGAACGTTTCTTTCATCCTAGAATATCAATTTCAGAATTCTTTTAAAAATATATGTTTAACAACTTGTGTCATATTTAAAGTATCATCGACAATGACCCCACAAGGACCTGATATCATTTATACATAACTTCGTGGTTTTTTTTTTTTTGGTCATATATCTACCATTTATGAATAGACATGTATCATGGTTAATAACAATTTCTTTCAACATTTTCGTTGAGATCAGACATTTATATTCGACACGGTTACTCAAATTGTAATCGCCTCCGCCTTGCAGAAATATGTAGATATTTGATAAGTGAATTTTGAATCTGAATCTGATTGTAATATAATTCAATAAGAAATAATCAGTTTTCGCTTTGTTGTATACTATTCCATGAAAAAATTAGTTTAAGTTATTGGGTTCGGGGCATCATCCTATCTGTCTGTTTATTCGTCTCTCTGTTTTTGCTCCGTGTCTTCTTACCCCGCGTCTACACTTAACTTAATTTTAGAGGCGTAAATATTTTGAAAAAGGATTACATTTGCATAGTTTATTTCATTTCAGAAATTTAGATCTTATGGTAAAATGAATGTAAGCCGAGGCAAACCTAAACAGATAATACAATCAATAGTGCAATTTATTTTGAAACGAAATGAACAAAATGAATAAAACAAAAGAACAAGGGGAATAACTACACATAAACACAATGCACGATACAATGTTCTCTCAAACTCGCCATGAGCAATATATAATTTAATCAAACGTATTTAAATTAAGAAAAAATAATTTAATCGTTGAGTAATAATAATAATAATAATAATTCGAGGTTCTTATATACCGCTTTATCACAACCTTGTTCGTAGGTCGTCTCAAGGCGGTTCACAAATTATTATCCGTGGTTATAGGGCCTTTGCAACCAGCCAATATCGTTCTCAACTCCTTGAAGAGCATACAGCCGGTGCTGCCATTTTGGCGATCACAGCTGGCATTCTACAATTCTAGCACTGCCCAACCACGTACTCATTAACAGCTGAGTAGAATGGAACAAGCGGAGTAAAGTATCTTGCTCAAAGATACAACACAGTGCTATGGCGTGACTCGATCCCGCAACCCTTCAGTCACGAGCCCGGCGTCCTACCACTAGACCATCGTGCCTCCATAAGTCTAGTCGAAGCATGAGCTGTTCAGTAAGTTTCTTTCACCTCACCTTACCAAACTGTGTGAGGTTATAGTTCTTGATAAGATGCAGCATTTGTTTTTGCCTGTTATTCACTCAAATATAAGGTCTGGGTTATACAAGGTCGATACGCTCAATCTGCCATGATTTGATGCATTTTGATATCTGCTCCAGTACTTAACTGTTTCTAATGTCGTAACCACTAAACTTCGTAAGGTAAAAGTACCTGGTTAGTTGGTAACAGTAAAATACTAAGCATAAATGAGGACAACGGAAATTGAGGAAAATGCATCAAGAACTCTTGCAGAGCCAACAAGAGCTCTAATAAAGAATTCACAACTATAACATAGACGATAGACGACATGATCCTAAGAAAGAGATACCGACCATCACGAAGACAACATAAACCATCAAAAAGACAACATAAACCCTAAAAAGACAACATAAACCCTAAAAAGACAACATATCCCATCAAAAAGACAACATCAACCCTAAAAAGACAACATGAACCATCAAAAAGACAACATAAACCCGAAAAAGACAACATACACCCTAAAAAGACAACATAAACCCTTAAAATACAACATTTACCATCAAAAAGACAACATAAACCCTAAAAAGACAACATAAACCCTAAAAAGACAACATCAACCCTAAAAAGACAACATATCCCATCAAAAAGACAACATAAACCCCAAAAAGACAACATAAACCATCAAAAAGACAACATAAACCCTAAAAAGACAACATAAACCCTAAAAGACAACATAAACCATCAAAAAGACAACATAAACCCTAAAAAGACAACATAAACCCTAAAAGACAACATCAACCATCAAAAAGACAACATAAACCCTAAAAAGACAACATAAACCTTAAAAAGACAACATAAACCCTAAAAAGACAACATATCCCATCAAAAAGACAACATAAACCCTAAAAAGGCAACATGAACCATCAAAAAGACAACATAGACCCTAAAAAGACAACATAAACCCTAAAAAGACAACATAAACCATCAAAAAGACAACATAAACCCTAAAAAGACAACATAAACCCTAAAAAGAAAACATAAACCCTAAAAGACAACATAAACCATCAAAAAGACAACATAAACCCTAAAAAGACAACATAAACCATCAAAAAGACAACATAAACCCTAAAAAGACAACATTTACCATCAAAAAGACAATATAAACCCGAAAAAGACACCATAAACCCTAAAAAGACAACATAAACCCTAAAAAGACAACATAAACCATTAAAAAGACAACATATACCATCAAAAAGACAACATATACCCTAAAAAGACAACATAAACCCTAAAAAGACAACATAAACCATCAAAAAGACAACATAAACCATCAAAACGACAACATGAACCATACAAAACAACATGATTCCTCACAAGTATATTACCTTCAAGAATTGACAGAATGAGCTATCACAAAGACAACTTGACACAATACCCTTTACTTGTACATAAACCACAATAAAATGTGTTATATGAAATAGTGACTATCAGATTGATTCAAGAAACAAATAGACGTATGGTTTGAAGATAAATTTTATTGATAAAACCAGGACATTTAGTTGCAGCCATATACTTCCACTCTGAGTCCGGGCTGTCCTCCGGTATGCCACAGTGTTGGCAGGAAGCGGACAAATCTGGCCTGTACCGGCTTCACCAAGTCGTGTTTTATCACCGTGTCGTAGCTCGAACTCCCACTAAACGTCTAAAATAAAACAAAAGTAATATGTACACATAAACAATATCTTTGATCCGTTACATTGATTCCATTAGTTATCGGTAGACTTCGACCAATTTGCAATTATAAGACGATATTGATTATTCTAGAGCTACCTCTAATTCATTCCCGAAATTCCACGATTCTGCACCTCTTGAATATGTCATAACAAAATCGAAGGCACGATGTTAGTAATTTAAAAAAAAACTAATCGCTAGGCTGATACATTCGTTTTAAGATTACAGAGAAGCGACAACCAACTTCAAAGCCGGTAAATTTTACCGTTACTATGTCGGACGATTTTCTTGAATTGCAGCAAATGATCAAACAACTCTACCTTTATCATCTATAACATGGAGCGCACAAAGTCTTCAATTTCGTCTTCAATTGCACCAGGGTACAATGAACATAACAGAGCCTAATCCAATGTATTCTCAAGCTTCCTCTGAATCGTCTACCTTCATCGGACAGGACTGTGTTACATACAATTCCTGTCGCATTAAGGCTATTTTGATTATTTAGATGTCACATTGAAATGATCTTTTGCAAAATATGACATAGGACTCACCTTGCTATTCCCGACGGCGTCAGTTGCGGTCGTGAACGTGTTGCCGTCTTGACTGTAGGTGACTGTGTAGGTGAGAGTGTAGTAGGTGGAGGATCTGTAACCCTGTGTGGCCACACCGTACACCGTCGACACGTTTCCGAGGTCCACCTTAAACATACAGTTATACTTAAATCGTGAATATAATTGTCTAATTCTTTAACATAAACATTGTGATACTAAAAACATAACAATGGTATGATAACATTGCTTGCTGTATTAAGGACGTACCGTTTGCTTTTCATTTTTTCATCATTTTCCTCATTTTTGTATATATCGAACAAGAAATTTCCCCAGAATTTATATAAATTTAAAGGATTTCATTTTTAAAACCTAACTTAATCATCTTGCGTTTGTATTGTTGTTTGTTTGATATTTTAGCCGGGAGTTACATTTTAACAATTGTCTTAACCCGTATAGCTCCCTCTACCTTTTTACCATGCATCTTTTGAGCTTACGACGAAAGTCTAAAATTATTTTCTACTCGTGTTACTCTCTCCTTTCAAAAGTATATACCATACCTGTAAGTAGGACCCGGTCCCATTTCCTATCCAGCCCGTAGTTGAGTGGAGTCGGCCATTCTGTGCTTTATAAGTGGTGTAGGTTAGGTGAGCTGACAACTGGGCGTCGGGGATGTGTTTAACATTCTGATCCACTCCGAAGGTGTTCTGGGAGCACCCTGAATAATTACATAAATACAGTTTACTGGATACTAAACAAATGCTATGGAAAGGTGTGGGTTCACCTGCTCGACCACCTGGGTTTTCTCCGGGTACTCCGGTTTCCTCCCACATTAAGACCCCCAGCGCGCTACCATCCGGGCCAACAAGATTGATTAAAATAAGTTAATTGACTTGTTTCGTAATTGTTGTTAAATAAACAAAGTTTATATTTAATGGATAGCAAACATGATACACATAAAAAACGGAATTATTGAACCTTTAATACAGAGTTAAAAAGGGAGATAACTCACTTGTTTGACACCTCTCTCCACCATAACCCTTGGTACAGCTACAGGTGAATTTGTTCAGGTTGTCTGAGCATGTTCCACCATTCTCACAGGGATTGCTCTTACATTGGTCTTGTTCTTTAAGAAAGTCAAAACAATGATAATTAAATGTTCTATCTTAAACATTAAGAGCATTCAGGAATCCTCCATCCATTGACGCCAATAAGACAACATACTTTTACAACGATAAAATACTACATAGCTGATTATGACAGCAGAACATTGAATATAATTATGTTTGCAGATTTGGATTACATGAAAGTGTATGTAGTGAAAATGCTATTTAACATTTTTTAATCAATTAATGAAACTATGAAGTTAATCAAATTATTAACATCATATATCTGAATCGCACCCCGGATGTTGATACTGAATGACCCGTCAGCATATTTCCCGTGAACGTCAGTGGCGCGAATTTCAAAGTGGTAGGTGGCGTCCACGTCGGGAGCAGTGCCGGATATCACACCAGTAGAGTTATTTAAGGTAGTGCCGGGAGGGAGGTGACCCGCGACTAGTTCGTACACAATGCTTTGTCCATCTGGGTCCTGTTTTGAATAATATATTTTTTAAATTATCAAACTATTTGAATGCATAATGCTGTGAAATATTACTCCAAAAGATGTGCTTAAACTGACGGTAAATATACGTTTATTACTCTGTTTGTTTTGCATTAACTGTCTATGTTAATCTTCTGTTCCTGAGGTTTGATATTCAATTAAAAAATATATTTGTGAGGTGTGCTTCCCGTAAAGTCATAAACTGTAAACTCATACCCTTGCCTGCACTGCTACCGATACAGCTTTCCCGGAGTTGAATGTACCCAAAGATCCATGAACCGACTGCCTGGTCCAGATAGGGGGCAGACTCTTTACTTTCTGAAACATCGATATCGTTTATTTTACTCAACAAGTCACCACAGAATAACTCAATGATGACAATCATTTTCTCATTATGTTTCTTTAATTTCATATTGAAGTTTAAAATATAAGCAAAACATATTTGATCTTTTCAGTAACTCATTTATTTGTTATTACCTGTTGTAAAACACAATACACTGTCACAATAGCACAAGAGGAATAGCACCATTATTTGTGACTGCTAGGAACATCTGTCATATACGATCGTCATTAAGACCCCCAGCGTTAACAATAACGGTAGATGATAATAATATTACTCTATGAAGTGATAGGACCACTCACCTGAATGAATTTCCTCAAATCTGTGCCAGCGATGTAGACTGTTCCTCCAACGCCTGGTTTTAAGATGACATCTCCACCTTGGCCAGCCTACATTTACAGACCCCAACGTACTTAACAAGCAAATGCATAATTGATTTTCATGACATATCATTTACTATGCAGAACCCATACACATGCTCGTGTTTTGGGTAATGCAAAAACACATAATTTAGAAATTACCATTTTCTTTTACATTTAATTATTAATTTTTTAAACAATATAGAAAATAAAAGATACAAGTCAGCAATGCCAACATGAATTGTAAAAAAGAAAAAAAAATCCAGCTTCAACAAATCCATTTCTCTAATTATTTATTTTCCCCCGTATTTCGCCAATTGTCTTCAACCAGGAACTAGAAATTGGGAATGGTACTCAGTTACACGTTTAGAATAAGTGCCCCAAGTCTTCTAATAACATAAGATTTATAAAGTACGATCTTATATTATAAAACACGTCCAGTGAACATTATTTTGAACATCATCAATGATAAAGGTTTTGATGAATGCGGACCAAAAATAAAACCAAAACTGAATTTAGAAACAAGAAAACGAATTTACCTCAAAGACAAGATCTCCATTCGGTTCTGAAGATATGTTTACATTTGGATAATCTACCTGGAAGAAACTGTAAAATAAAAAAACGTAAAATTAGGAGGGAATAACAAACATATATCAGGGACAACGCGATATCTTCAATATTAAGTGATTCTATTGACTTACCTGGCTGTAACTATAGCTGGCAATATAATGAAAATCACAAACAGTGCCGCCATGATGGATTTCTAACGTTTCGGTTACCGGAAACCGGTCTTTTAGGCAGCTTTCCTGGCGCAATATTGTATCGGATTTGACAACCGAACAATTTCATGGTCACTATGACAACACTAGATGGTGACACAGATTTGGGACAAGGTTGAATCCGTTTAGTTATTTATTGTTCTAAAACCAGGCTAATCCCTGGGCGTAATTCCCATCTGCCCCATGCTTCTGATTCTACGTAACATAACGACGAGATATAAAGCAATGATACAACGGATAGGCACGCCTTGATTGACGACGGGAAACTCGTTGTTTTTACACCACTTTTTTTTGCAATCAAGTAAAATGATCCAATTTATCATTCTGCTCCTAATTCCAGCTTCACCCATAGCAGCAGACGACGGGTATGTATACGTACCTTTGAAATTCAGTTTGCATGACAAAATCTCCATAGCAGAATTTGGTGTGTCGAGTATATGCGTAATAAATAGTATTGCGTTCTGTTTTAACCCAGATGTTTTTCTTTCCCTCTATATATGAACGAGTATAAACCTAATATGAATTTACTATGTTATGTTCCTGATAATTAATTAATAAAATATTTCCTTGATGTTCTTATTCTGTACCTGTGATTGATTTGCTACTTTTTTCTATGCCATGTTTCAGAGTTTTCGATATCAGATTTCCCAATGTAATTGTGGCTGCTCAGAGTAACGGTAACATTTCGTTACAGGTAAATACAATATCATATTCATTTATGCTACACCCCTTTTGAAAACGTTTTGATTATTAATTTCTTTATTTATCATACAACTTTAAACATTATGATAATAAAATCCAGTTGATAAAACGACTTTGCAATCATTAAGCATTGTTTCAATGTTTTTAAAGTCACATAGATATTTATTCAGAAATAAGTACATAAATGCTACAGAGTTATGATAACAATGTCACTAATTTCAACAGTCGGGAGATGCGACCCGCGATCTGTACATTCTACCCGGATCGACTGATGGAATGGTCTATTTTGAGGGCGAGGACCTGCTCAGCATCCTAGAGGTACTGATCGACTTTGGGGGTTTATGAGGATTTACATACTTTCCAACGTAGATATAACCTGAAGGTCGTATATATAATAACCTGTACATCATATTAATAGTTACGTGTAGGTCGTATCCCTGGTTACCTTTAAGTTGTATACCATAGTTACCTGTAGGTCGTTTTCCTGGTTACCTGTAAGTCGTATACCATGGTTACATGTAGGTCGTGTCCCTGGTTACCTGTAAGTCGTATACCATAGTTACGTGTAGGTCGTGTCCCTGGTTACCTGTAAGTCGTATACCATGGTTACGTGTAGGTCGTGTCCCTGGTTACCTGTAAGTCGTATATCATCGTTACATGTAGGTCGTATCCATGTTTACCTGTAAGTTGTATACCATAGTTACGTGTAGGTCGTGTCCCTGGTTACCTGTTAGTCGTATACCATAGTTACGTGTAGGTCGTATCTCTGGTAAACTGTAAGTCGTATACCATAGTTACGTGTAGGTCGTGTCCCTGGTTACCTGTAAGTCGTATACCATAGTTACGTGTAGGTCGTTTTACTGGTTACCTGTTAGTCGTATACCATAGTTACGTGAAGGGCGTGTCCCTGGGTACCTGTAAGTCGTATATCATAGTTACATGTAGGTCGTATCTCTGGTAAACTGTAAGTCGTATACCATAGTTACGTGAAGGGCGTGTCCCTGGGTACCTGTAAGTCGTATATCATAGTTACGTGTAGGTCGTATCCCTGGTTACCTGTTAGTCGTATACCATAGTTACGTGAAGGTCGTGTCCCTGGTTACCTGTAAGTCGTATATCATAGTTACGTGTAGGTCGTGTCCCTGGTTACCTGTAAGTCGTATATCATAGTTACATGTAGGTCGTATTCCTGGTTACCTGTTAGTCGTATACCATAGTTACGTGTAGGTCGTTTTACTGGTTACCTGTAAGTCGTATACCATAGTTACGTGTAAGTCGTGTCCCTGGTTACCTGTTAGTCGTATATCATAGTTACGTGTAGGTCGTGTCCCTGGTTACCTGTAAGTCGTATATCATAGTTACATGTAGGTCGTATCTCTGGTAAACTGTAAGTCGTATACCATAATTACATGTAGGTCGTATCCATGTTTACCTGTAAGTCGTATACTATAGTTACGGGAAGGTCGTGTCCCTGGTTACCTGTTAGTCGTATGCAATAGTTACGTGAAGGTCGTATCTCTGGTAAACTGTAAGTAGTATACCGTAGTTACGTGTATGCTGTAACCCTAGTTATCTGTAAGTCGTATACCATAGTTACCTTTAGGTCGTATCCATGTTTACCTGTAAGTCGTATACTATAGTTACGGGAAGGTCGTGTCCCTGGTTACCTGTTAGTCGTATACAATAGTTACGTGAAGGTCGTATCTCTGGTAAACTGTAAGTAGTATACCGTAGTTACGTGTAGGCTGTATCCCTAGTTACCTGTAAGTCGTATAACATAGTTACCTGTAGGTCGTATCCATGGTTACCTAAAGGGTGTTTCATAATTACCTGGAGGTTGTATTGATATTAACCTGAAGGGCGTAGCCAGTTCACTTATATTTAATTTTTACTTTTTGTCGGTAACTATATAAAAGTCGTATCCAAGGATCGTTAATTTTTAAATGTTCACCAGATATGTTTGCTTAATATATTCTGTTTCAGATTGCGAAAAGTCTCCCTCCAGTATGGTCAAATCATGCTCATAACGGATTCTTTGGTACCTTTAAAGGCGATGAAAATGTTGACATCAAGTTGGAAGCGGAGGTGAGAGTTCTTATTCTTGTATTCATATAATCGGTAGCATACTGTAGTACAAACTAGTACGTCCTTCCCCGAAGTACTGAATAACCTGTCTACAAAGGTATATCATAATGAGGTTAACATATTTGAAATCAATGGTTTAATGATAATTATTTACATTTTATTGATAGGATCCGGAAGGAGAGCATATCACATTTGAGATTGTGGCCGGGGCTCTTCCGCCGGGTATCACCCTTGATGTCACTTCCGGGCATGTGAAAGGCGTCATTCCTGACGTGACAGGAAGTTACTCATTCACTATCCGGGCACAAGACACACATGGGAAATATGCAGATTCTGTGTTTAAGATGGAAACTTTAGGTATATTATTGAATTTTTTTTGTGGTCATTTTTCATGTCGATTATCCAAAATGAATAGATATCGAAGAATGTGAAATATTTATTCAAACTTGCAAGTGAACCTTAATAATTTAGGAAGAGAATAATGGGATTCTTTACCCTAAGATCTGATAAATTAGTCAATGCTTTAGAGGTGATTGCGCAGATGATACACAAGAAATAACTAGATTGGTTTGTTGACCCAATGGTCATTTTCAGAGTTTGACCACTGCTCCTCCAGCCCGTGTCTACATAATGGACAGTGTACAGACACGACGGGAGGGTTTACCTGTAACTGTACAACTGACTACGGCGGTCAGAAGTGTGAAACAGGTAACCTTTTCAAGTTTTTTGTATTAAATCAGATTTTTTATTGAAGTGTTGAACTTCAATCATTTAGTCACAACATAACACTTAGCTTACCAGAGATCTTTTGATGGCTACGGGGCCGCGAAGGCCAAGTGGTTAAGGCGTCTGCGATCACTAGCCCTTAACCACTTGGACGCTGGTTCTAGGCCTACGTTTGGCAGTTGCTAGGTACTAACCGCAGAACGGTCTATTTTCTCCTGGTACTCCGGCTTACATCCAATACCAAAACCTGTCGCGTCCTTAAATAACCATAGCTATTAATAGGACGTAAAACACCAACAAACCGAGTCAAACTAAACCATCTTTATCACGCTAGTAGACCCTAAGTGACCTTGCTATTTTCCTGCACATGAGTGGCGTAACAAACGCAAGAGCCTGCCTTAGATAGGAGAAACCCCTTCTCATTTTTGTTTAGGTTCCCCTGTGTCGTCTGGTGTGTATACATAGTTTGATACCTAGATCTTGTCTGATGTCGGAGATGGACACAATCGACACATCAATCTTGTGGCTGGACTCTAGTCCATTCTCGGCTACAGAGACACTAGTGGCGGCAGTCCGTCGTTCTGTTTTCATGCGATGTTCTCATTCATTTCATTTCATGATAGAATGGAATAGCGTTAATAATAAATTTCATTATCTCATTACATAGATAGATAAGTTGAGTCTTTTTTTTTATTAGAAAATCCTAAGAACCATAGATACAATTGTTTATCTAAGAAATAAAATACTTTACTTGAAGAAAATGAAATCAGCTATTTTATCAAGTTTTTTCAAAGTGTGTATGTAAATTGTTTCTCACAAAAAGTAACGAGAACTGTTCTTTGTATAAACCATATTACCAAATGATCTCTAGAAATACTAAATCAAACTCTATTTTTTATAAACTGTTACATTACAGCGTGCAGAAGCAAAGTTATAAATATACGCAGTCCAAGTGTGATCCCGGACGCCCAGATGACCGCCTTTCGTTCCTACAGTAGCTATCTTGCCTCCAATGGTCGATATGGGGCTAGTGGCTATGGGTGGTGTGGTACGAGTACAGATTCTTGGCTACAAGTCGATCTGGGTAGGAATGTAATTTGTTATCTTACCGTATAATGGAGATCCTATTATCCTGAATGATTTTTATAAAAGTTATAGAGTGACCTTTCACTAGACATTTTTAAGATTCCAATGAGTAATTGTGAAATATATAATTTTGTTGCACAATATTTTCTGTAAAGACCAACTAACACTCGAAGATTTATAACGTTTTTCAATAATGCAAACTTTACTTTATCGTTTTAATCCGCAAACATAGAGGCCAGAGAAACTAACCTATCACGGAACAATGTAATTTACAGAATCACTTCAAATGTTCTAAGCTTAGACCAGTCCATCGTCACTACTGCTCTTGTTATTTGCTAAATAATTAATAACCTATTGTTATCAATTCTTTTATTAGGCATTCGGATCAAATGACGTCACAACAGATACTAGTAAATGACACAAGTTTCATGATCAACTGACAAAACGTTAAAAAAATAGACAATTAAATCGACTTAGACGGTATTCATCCGCCGAAGAAAATCTTTTGGGTGTCGTTTGTATATATACAACCATCAGGGGATAGATAGTCAACCTTTTGGGTGTCGTTTGTATATATACAACCATCAGGGTATAGATAGTCCACCTTTTGGGTGTCGTTTGTATATATACAACCATCAGGGGATAGATAGTCAACCTTTTGGGTGTCGTTTGTATATATACAACCATCAGGGGATAGATAGTCCACCTTTTGGGTGTCGTTTGTATATATACAACCATCAGGGGATAGATAGTCAACCTTTTGGGTGTCGTTTGTATATATACAACCGTCAGGGGATAGATAGTCCACCTTTTGGGTGTCGTTTGTATATATACAACCATCAGGGGATAGATAGTCCACCTTTTGGGTGTCGTTTGTATATATACAACCATCAGGGGATAGATAGTCCACCTTTTGGGTGTCGTTTGTATATATACAACCATCAGGGGATAGATAGTCCACCTTTTGGGTGTCGTTTGTATATATACAACCATCAGGGGATAGATAGTCCACCTTTTGGGTGTCGTTTGTATATATACAACCATCAGGGGATAGATAGTCCACCTTTTGGGTGTCGTTTGTATATATACAACCATCAGGGGATAGATAGTCCACCTTTTGGGTGTCGTTTGTATATATACAACCATCAGGGGATAGATAGTCCACCTTTTGGGTGTCGTTTGTATATATACAACCATCAGGGGATAGATAGTCCACCTTTTGGGTGTCGTTTGTATATATACAACCATCAGGGGATAGATAGTCCACCTTTTGGGTGTCGTTTGTATATATACAACCATCAGGGGATAGATAGTCCACCTTTTGGGTGTCGTTTGTATATATACAACCATCAGGGGATAGATAGTCCACCTTTTGGGTGTCGTTTGTATATATACAACCATCAGGGGATAGATAGTCCACCTTTTGGGTGTCGTTTGTATATATACAACCATCAGGGGATAGATAGTCCACCTTTTGGGTGTCGTTTGTATATATACAACCATCAGGGGATAGATAGTCCACCTTTTGGGTGTCGTTTGTATATATACAACCATCAGGGGATAGATAGTCCACCTTTTGGGTGTCGTTTGTATATATACAACCATCAGGGGATAGATAGTCCACCTTTTGGGTGTCGTTTGTATATATACAACCATCAGGGGATAGATAGTCCACCTTTTGGGTGTCGTTTGTATATATACAACCATCAGGGGATAGATAGTCCACCTTTTGGGTGTCGTTTGTATATATACAACCATCAGGGGATAGATAGTCCACCTTTTGGGTGTCGTTTGTATATATACAACCATCAGGGGATAGATAGTCCACCTTTTGGGTGTCGTTTGTATATATACAACCATCAGGGGATAGATAGTCCACCTTTTGGGTGTCGTTTGTATATATACAACCATCAGGGGATAGATAGTCCACCTTTTGGGTGTCGTTTGTATATATACAACCATCAGGGGATAGATAGTCCACCTTTTGGGTGTCGTTTGTATATATACAACCATCAGGGGATAGATAGTCCACCTTTTGGGTGTCGTTTGTATATATACAACCATCAGGGGATAGATAGTCCACCTTTTGGGTGTCGTTTGTATATATACAACCATCAGGGGATAGATAGTCCACCTTTTGGGTGTCGTTTGTATATATACAACCATCAGGGGATAGATAGTCCACCTTTTGGGTGTCGTTTGTATATATACAACCATCAGGGGATAGATAGTCCACCTTTTGGGTGTCGTTTGTATATATACAACCGTCAGGGGATAGATAGTCAACCTTTTGGGTGTCGTTTGTATATATACAACCGTCAGGGGATAGATAGTCAACCTTTTGGGTGTCGTTTGTATATATACAACCATCAGGGGATAGATAGTCAACCTTTTGGGTGTCGTTTGTATATAAACAACCGTCAGGGGATAGATAGTCCACCTTTTGGTGAAGGATTCGTGATCCGGCCTCTGTTACGACTCAAAAGCTAGTAGTCATGTCAAAATTTCATATCCAACACACAGTGTATTTCATTTGTGTGATACCGATCACTCAAAGCATTTTCAACAAAGGATACTGACGCTTGTAAGACAGTTATAGAAATTGTATTTAGAGAAAACATTTTATACTCAGTCTTACATAAAATAGAAATCATGGAACGAATTGACAAGAGACAAAAATAGTTTTGATGACAAAGCAAGTTAACAAGACAAAGCTAGTTTGGGCAAAATAGCTAGTTGACAAGACAAAGCTACATGTAGTTAACAAACCAATTTTTTAACAAGACTGGTTTGAGTGACATAGCTAATAAACATGACAAAGCTAGTTCACAGAACCAAACATGTTCACAAGAAAAAAGTAGTACGCGAGACAAAGTTTATTTACGAGAAAAAAAGGTAAAATAGACATAAGATGTAATATGACAGACTCTATTGTACTTATTTGTTGTGCAGGTCATGTGACTAAGATCTACAGGGTTGAGACACAAGGTTACTCCTCACACCAGTACACCAAGACCTACAGTATGTCGTATAGCACTGACGGAAACACGTTCTATAAGGTTGACCCTGTCAACGGAGCAGGAAGCGTAAGTACTGACGGCAACACGTTCTATCAGGTTGACCCTGTCAACGGAGCAGAAAGCGTCAGTACTGACGGCCACTAATTGTAGTTAATAAAAAGTCATGTTAAATCAATGATGATAACGACAATAAAGGAAACATATGGATGGTACAAGAACCTTGGCTAGTTTAATGTAATGTAATTATCTAATTAGATACAACTGACTGTTAACATGATCATATCGATAGAAAGGTGTTCCAGCATGGCTTGCTTACAAACGTTATTCACTAGCTCAGCAATAATTCTAACATTGGTTATTTGTTTAGTTACAAAAGGATCGATTCTGTACATATTTATGGTTATAATCTATTAATTAATTAATAAAAAAACAATGATAATTTGTCTGAGAAAATCTCAAATTACGTCTTTCGTTTGTTCTTCCTTGTGCCAACACTATGTCGTCAGTTGACATAGAACATTCAATACTGTCTATTTTTTTCAGATCTTCTCCGCGAGCTACTCAACCTCATCTACAGTTCACACGCTAAACGTGCCAGTGAACGCAAGATTTGTCCGGTTCCATCCAAACACATTCGTCGTCCGGCCCTGTTTCAAAGTGGAGCTGATTGGGTGTAGAGTACTCAGTTTGAATTAAAACAAATCTTCTCTGAATTTGTCCTTTTAGTCCTATGTTATCTATTTTAACTACTGCTTTGAAATAACAAAGAAGTTCAATGTCATGGTATAGCATGCACACATGAATAACAAAGAAGTTCAATGTCATGGTATAGCATGCACACATGAATAACAAAGAAGTTCAATGTCATGGTATAGCATGCACACATGAATAACAAAGAAGTTCAATGTCATGGTATAGCATGCACACATGAATAACAAAGAAGTTCAATGTCATGGTATAGCATGCACACATGAATAACAAAGAAGTTCAATGTCATGGTATAGCATGCACACATGAATAACAAAGAAGTTCAATGTCATGGTATAGCATGCACACATGAATAACAAAGAAGTTCAATGTCATGGTATAGCATGCACACATGAATAACAAAGAAGTTCAATGTCATGGTATAGCATGCACACATGAATAACAAAGAAGTTCAATGTCATGGTATAGCATGCACACATGAATAACAAAGAAGTTCAATGTCATGGTATAGCATGCACACATGAATAACAAAGAAGTTCAATGTCATGGTATAGCATGCACACATGAATAACAAAGAAGTTCAATGTCATGGTATAGCATGCACACATGAATAACAAAGAAGTTCAATGTCATGGTATAGCATGCACACATGAATAACAAAGAAGTTCAATGTCATGGTATAGCATGCACACATGAATAACAAAGAAGTTCAATGTCATGGTATAGCATACACACATGAATAACAAAGAAGTTCAATGTCATGGTATAGCATGCACACATGAATAACAAAGAAGTTCAATGTCATGGTATAGCATGCACACATGAATGACATTGAACCTCTTTCGAGATCACATGAAATGTGTGCAAAACTTGTAACGATCTCTCTCTAAACCACCTAGAAGCCTAGGTTAATTATATATTCCCTGCAGCATTATTGAGAGAATTGTTCGAAAGATTGAATTTCCTTGAGTCAGTTTAAATGTCAGAGGAGCTTAATGTACTCAAATATTGAAAAGCCTGCTTCTGAATAAATTTGAGTTCTGTTTCAAGGTGGAATTCAATGTGTGCTTATTCATTAACATAAAAATATAATGTATGAATAGGTTACATATGTACACCTCTGGGACACAGGGAACGACTGTTTGACTTAGGCTAGGCTCTCTCTCTCTCTCTCTCTCTCTCTCTCTCTCTCTCTCTCTCTCTCTCTCTCTCTCTCTCTCTCTTTAGACTTTTTTTTAAGACTGATAATTTAAAAAACTGTTACAACATATAATCTGAAACTGTATGAAGTGAAATCAGTGACGGATCTATGCAGCTGGGAGTGAAATCAGTAACGGATCTATGCAGCTTGGAGTGAAATCAGTGAAGGATCTATGCAGCTGGGAGTGAAATCAGTGACTGATCTATGCAGCTGGGAGTGAAATCAGTGACTAACTATGCAGTTGGGAGTGAAATCAGTGACGGATCTATGCAGCTTGGAGTGAAATCAGTGACGGATCTATGCAGCTGGGAGTGAAATCAGTGACGGATCTATGCAGCTGGGAGTGAAATCAATGAAGATATATGCAGCTGGAAATACGTGAATTATAATGAATCAATTACATGTGGTGGGTTACTTACGATTACAACAATGTCTTTCTAAAGTCGCGCCAATATCGATCACCTGATCCACATGATCGATGACCAATACTACGTCACACATATATGAATGAGGTACACTTGATGCATACTTATCAAAATGACGCTCGGAATCAGCTTAGTCTATGATGAGGGGTTGAGGCTGAAAATATTTCACCAACATTATAACATGTCAGTCATGTTTTTCTTTTTGTAATTAAACTGAATGCCACGAAATGAGACATGAGATAAAGATAATTTGTATACAAACCTTGATCATCCTGAGCTTACCCTTTAGTTCTTGTTCCTTTATTTGTTTAAGATGATTCGAGGCGTACAAGCCACAAATAGAGATGGTTCTGTTCGGACAAAACCACAAATCATAATAAAATCTCCCGGAACATATTTTAACTGTAGATAAACATAGAACAGTATAGTCTAGATTCATAAATGGAATATAAATATTGTGTTATTTCATAGCATTCAGTGTTGTTGTAACTTAACAAATAGGTACATTTCGATCTGCAAGTTTAAGTTAATCGCAATGATATGATTCTTTCAAAAGATATCCAAAAGCTATTAACCAATCTGATTTGAGTAGCCTCATTAAATATTCAAACATTCGGCCAAGCATCAAGGTTCAGCAAGGGAGCTGAATGGAAAGTAACCAATGCAATTTTAATCATGATCGTTTACTCTCCAAAAGAATTGGGATCTTTTGTGTGTTTCTTTTCATGATTGTTTTAATTTTTCAAGTCTTTTTTGACATTTGCATTTCATCATCATCACTATATCATTATTATCATCATCCTTGTCATGATAATCAAAACAGCATGACAATGGCATTATCATTATCATCATGGTACTCAATTCTCATCACCATCATCATCATTTTTGTCATAACATCATCATCCATCGTCATTATCATCGTCATCAACATCACACAATAATGATATCATCGCCATTATCATCAAATAACAATATGAGAACGACATCATCATTATCATCACCACCATAACCACAATAGAATGACTTCACAGTTATCATCATCATACAATGATATCATAATAGTAATCGGTCATCACCATGTCAATCATCATCACTTAAAACTCAGTCATCATACTCATGTCATAATGCCACTCTTCACATCTATCATCATTATACTCATGTCATAATGACACTCTTCACATCTATCATCATCATCATCATCGTCATCATCATCATCATCATCATCATCATCATCATAATCATCATGTCAATCATCATCACTTAAAACTCAGTCATCATCACTTAAAACTCAGTCATCATACTCATGTCATAATGACACTCTTAAAAATCTATCATCATCATCATCATGCCATAATGTTAATTATCATTATTATCATCCTCATCTCCATCTTTATTATCATATTTACATTTAGTCGTCATAATCATCCGTATCATCATTCATTATCATCAGCAAAGACCACCAGCATAACACTGTATTTTCAATCATACCTGCTCACACACATACATGCATGCACACACATGAGAGAGAGAGAGAGAGAGAGAGAGAGAGAGAGAGAGAGAGAGCGTT